GAAGGTATATGGGAGAAGATCATCATCAACTATTGCTGAACAGCAACATAAGATATTCATACAGGCCAGAAGAAGAATAAAGAGGGCCCAGAAGAAAAGAAATGAGAGGGTGAATGCTGAAAGAAAGGTGGTAGAATTGAAGGTTGGAGACCCTGTCTACTATAAAATCCACCAGAGAGAAGGAAAACTGGACCAGAGATGGGAAACCGTACTACCGGATAGTGGAGCAGACAGGCCCAGTATCATATGTAATATGGGTTCAAGTGGCAGGACGAGCGAGGAGGGTTCATGCCAATGATCTGAAGAAGGCTGAAATAGCTAACCTGGAAATGAGCGAGCCGAGGCCTAAGAAGACAAGGAAAAGGAAGGTAACTCTGGTTGAACCGGAAGGAATGGAGACGGAGGAAGACTCGAAGAAGATGAGGAGATAGGTCGACTTGACCAGATAAACGAAGCAGTCCGAGTGACGGAGTTGGAACCCTCAGCGGGGATTAGAGATGTTCAGTCGTCGACTGAATCAGTGCAGAGAAGACCCCGTGAGATCGCCATCACACCCCCCCGAAGAAAAGGAAGAAAAAGACGAAGAGGTCCAATCAAGCAGTCGAAGGCTCTAAAAGAGGCACCCTGAACAGGACGAAGGGGCCCAGCGAGTGGGAGGAGGAGGATCAAATACCCCTTTCCCAGCTTAAGGAAAGGATAAAGAACAGGAGAAGTTTAGACATAGAGTCGAGAGGTATTGAAGACATTCAAGGCGAAGACTCTAAACAGAAAGAAGAATCAGGGATGAAGAAGAGGACAAAAAAACCTCCTGGACGAGAATTAAACACAGAAGGAAGGTTAGAGGTTGAACAGGAATCCCCTCAGAAGATGAGATCAGGGAGGAGAAGAACCCCAAATCTCAGTAGAACAAAAGGGCTGTGCAGAATAGAAGCATTTAGTGTCAACAGATAACGACACTGGCTCATCCAAAATCCTATTGGCTGACTATGGTAGATGTGAGTGGAGGGATGGAGTCATGGGCTGCACCTCACAAGGACGGAAGAAGATCATTGGCATTATTGATTGGCCACCAGTGGTGTCATGAAGTACGACCTTTAGAGTGGGCGCCACGCACACCTGACCAGACCATTCTGTCTGCTAGGGGTTAGTTAGAGGAGGGAAGAGCCGAACTAAGAGAAAAGTTATGAAATGATTGAGTGATGAGTCGAGCGAGACTAAGTGATTGTGAAAGAATAACAACAAGAGAATTTGTTACCTTTCAGGAATGATAGCAAGGTACAAGGTGGAAGCAGACTACATAGCATTAAATTAAGGGAGAACGAAATTTTTTATGTTGCTATCAGCTGAAGAAACTAGAAAGGTGTAGAGATATACCCTGGGGACTTGTACCTCGTTGAGCCCTATCTATAAAACTGGTAACCGCAGACTGTGCATACTAGAATTGTTTGAAGGGAGGGGGGGAAGGAATCAAAAGAATCTGCCAAGTAGAGGTATTAACAAACTCGGCATTACCACAAGCTATCAGTGTTTCAGGCGGGGTGTGGGCAGTAGCCACAGAAACATATCAGCCTGTCTAGGGTATGTGGGGGAGAGTCCACAAGGACATTAAAATAAGGCCACCGTTATCCCTGGTGACGCTACCCATGGGATGTTCGGCGGTTGGGGTGTCCATCTCCTTGCCCCCTATTACCAGATGGAAGAAAGATATGAAGAAAAAAAGATCACTCTGTAGAGATGATTGGTAGAGGCTTAGTCAATTGTACAGAATTATGGGAGCCGATAGTGAAAAGATTCTCTAATGTTACCTTAAATAAGATGCCAGTATTAATGAAGCCAATAGAAAAGATCGATATGGATCACTTAAGAGATAAGTTAAGTGCGTTGGGAGACGAAGGTGTAGCTTGGGAAGACGATGAGCAGATCGCGATAAGTTGGTCAATAGTAATGGGTACATTCCTAGTTGTAGCCATCGGGGGTGTAATAATATGGAAGATTAAGAGTAAGAGAAGATTAGCGAACGACAGTCTAGTGAGCATGCAACAACTCGAGAGGGAGATGCGAGCAGTGTTCATTACTCAGACAGGACTGGCGAAGAAATTGCTGAAAGACCAATGGAGGAGGCTGGCGTGAGACCACCACGTGCGGCGGGAAAACCTCCCACGGCAGAGAGGAAAACATTGACCAAGAAGAACAAACCCTAGTGAACACATCTGCACCTACAAACACACGCACACATTACCTTGCATGTAAAAAAAAAAAGAAAATGAAAAAAAGAAAATGAACATTTCATTGCATGAACAGAAAAAAAGAAAATTGCAAAACAGAACATTTCATTGCATGTAGAACAGAAGAAAATGAAAAGAACATTTCATTGCATGTAGAACAGAAGAAAATGAAAGAACATTTCATTGCATGTAAACAGAAGAAAATGAAAAGAACATTACATTGCCTGTAGAACAAAAAAAATGAAAAGAACATTTCATTGCATGTAGAACAAAAAGAAAATGAAAAGAACATTTCATTGCATGTAGAACAAAAGAAAATGGAAAGAACATTACCCTTGCATGTTAGAAAGTAGAATAGAATTGCATGAGACAAATGCATGGTGCATGTTAAATGATGTAATTGTTTAGGTGTCATTTACGGGTAAATGACAAATCGGTTAGGGAGGATTGTGGCACCTTGCATTATTAGAAATATTCATAGAAATATGATTTAATTTTTTTATTCGGTTTACTAAACAGGTTGTTGATTTTTTTAAAACGGAAAATAATTGAGTTGAAAATAATTCACTAAGATTGTACCTTGGACGATCCTAAGGGAAGAAGAAGGAAGGGGAAAGAGAGAGGTCGAGAAATACAAAAAAAAAAAACGGTCATTAACAAAAAAAACACGAGTCAGAAAGATATCTTAGCTAGCATGTTGACCGAATTTTTTAAAGACAATTGGAAGAATAGAATTAGAAATAATAAGAAGAAAGAAAAGGGAAAAAAGACATGATATCAAAACGGGCCGCTTGATGGAAGCCAGATATCGGTCAAAGCACCTAGCCTACTTTTGCATGGAAAGACACCTTATCAATTTGGATAAAGAGAAATTTTGGGAACAATGAAACAATCTTAATCAGAGAAAAAAGTGTCTTTTGGGTTGAGGGGAGTGACCGGTGGAACGGTATACAGGCTCTGACCTGTTAAAAATTAGAACCCCCACAATAATAAAGTGGAGACATTTTTCAATGTAGATAATTAAGATTTTTGACTATCAGGAAAAACAAAGAGGTAAAAAAAGGGACAATTGCTTTTGGCTCACAGAGGGCGCCAAGAAGGCGGAAAAAGATCCTTTCTGAAGTCAAGTCTAATTAGCGGCGGGCTGTTTGACAAAGTCCAGGTGAGAGAAGGCCAAGATGGTCATTTTTCGTACGTGCGAAAAAAAAAAAGGAAAAATTAGATTTTGTTTTTTAGAACAAGAACGATATAAGCCCGCCCGATTGATTGCAGGAAACGCCCAATCAGGATCTCATTAGCAAAACGGTCACGTGGCTGCAGAAAAGAAAAGAAAGAAATGCTCAACCAGAATCCCATTAGCCGAAAAACGGTCACGTGGCTGCGGAAAAGAAAAGAAAGAAATGCTCGATCAGAATCTCATTAGTCGAAAAAACGGTCACCTGACATACGAGAGACCGAGAGAGATGGATATGCGCCTCCCCACCAAAAGCACTATGAGGAAGTAGGGGTGAAAACAATAGCGATAATGAGAAATCAGAAATAATGCGGCTTTTGGAATTATCGAGAAAACCCTGACGCCGACAGACCCACCCCAGTTTGTTGCGGCGTCAATAAAAAGCAGGACCCCAGTCGACAGAAATCAGTTGGAGTTGGAGTTGGAGTTGCAGCTGGACCGCGGAACGCTGGATTGGGCTGATTACTCTGAACGCGGGAATCGCAGCCAAGATTCCCAAGTCAAGAAAAGAGCCCCTTGCGGGCAAAAGAAGAAATCAGACAAGAAATCCTTCCAGCCCAAGTCGAAGACAGAAGTCGATGAGAAGAGAACTCAGCCCCGGACGGCAGCGAAACCCAAGTCAAGAAGATTCAGCCCCGGACGACAGAGAGTTGCGGAAGAGTTGCGGCAAGAGATCCTTCCAGCCCAAGTCGAAGACAAGAGAACTTCCAGCCTAAGTCCACCTCGAAGCCCAAGAAGAAATTGAACCCAAGTCGAAGACAAGAAATCTTCCAGCCAAAGTCGAAGACAAGAGAACTTCCAGCCTAAGTCGACGAAGAAGAAGAAATACAACTCAAGTCGGAGAGAAGAATCAACTGCGAATGATCGATAGAAATTAGCCCCAGTGTCGAACCAAACCACACTCCGACATACACAATTCTAAAGAGTAGGCAATTCGAAATCTTTAGGTTGTGTGATAGAAGCTTGTGCCATAGTCCACAAAGCGGGTTGGGAAATGAGAACAATTTTGTTTTTATGTAACGGACATTAAGATATAAAAGGTTGTTACCCATTTTTTTCATCAGCAATCTTTTGTCTCGTGAGTTTATTTTCTCTTTTATTTGTGTTTTGCCACCCCGTCGGACTCAACTTGTATCGGCCCCAATCCCTGCTGGTCCCGTCTGTCTAAGATCTAAACACAGCGTGGGTAGACAGACCGGAGATCGGTACAGTTGCTTTAGTGACCAGGTATTGGAAGCGAGTCGGGGAAAGGCGAGGCTGGTGATCATCTGACCAAGGGGTTGGAGGCACGCTTGGACCCAGGAGGAGCGACCAGGAGGAGACGTCACCGGAACCAAAGGATCCGACCCTGGGCCAGGTGTGTAACCGTCACAACTTGTTTGTTGATAAACTACATTTTCTAGTTAAATGTAAATGTTTTTGCAAATATATTTTGATTAAAGTAACAGTATTTTATATTTTTTTAAACCCTTTTGTATCTGGTCTTAAGATTTTCACCAGGAGTGTATATCAAGAAGAAAATGAAAAAAAAGTTTTGTTACCCAATGGAGCCATTGCAACCAACCAATCAGAAAGCTCATCTCTCTCTTTGGCATTATTCAGAGCTTTATTAATATTTCCTTTCCAGATTTCCATGTGAAGGTGGTACTCCATGTTATCATGTTCAAGGTGGAATTGGCCTGTTAACAGAAAACAAAAGACAATATATTCAAGATTTATCTAAAAGAGAACTTTTTTTTTACCAACACATATCTGAAAAAAAAAAAAGGAATTTAATATGGAGAGCTTGAACAAAACATTTAAGAAACTGTTTGCTATCCTAAGTTCTTGTTATTTAACTTATTTGAATTTATATAATGCTCTTTCTTGTTTCAATCACTACATTTTGGTTAATGGATTCTTTAGCTTTCTCCAAGATTATCTGAATATTTCTGATGAAGTTATATTGTTATGCAATGGATAATTTGAACTATTATACACACCTTTGTTGTTTTTATGCCAACATTTTAGCAAATGTATTAACGTCCTTGAGGCATATGAACAGAGCTAGAGAGTACAATGGTCAAAATAACAAAAACAAAGATACTGGTCAAAGTAAATCATCTGGTAGCAATTATATTTATTATTAAGTATACTGATTGTCTTTCTTTTTGCCAAACACTCCAAAGAGATTAAAAAAGTTAAATTTAAAATAAAAGGGTAAATATTGGGAAATTTTTTTTAATATAGAAAGATAAAAGAAATAAAGATGAGATGAAAGGTAAAGGAAATAAAGATGAGCAGAAACTAAATGAATCAATGCTTGTCTTCATTTTATCATCAAATCAAAAAGAAAAATTTGATAAACTTTTCCTTTAGCTTATGTTTTCTTTTTCTTGTCAAGAATTTTAGACACAGTTTACACAGAGATGTTTCTTTTAATGGCCAAAATGTTTTCTGAAGAGACAAGGAAGGAACTTTATATGAAACCAAATGAAAAAAATGTGGTTGAATAAAATTTTATTATCATTGTGCCTTTCATGGACCTTTTTTTTTTTTGTCTCCCCACTATACAAAAGTAGATCATTCCTATAAAAGTTTTCTGAGTGATTGGTGTAAATTATCATTAATTTATATAGAACAAGTTTTTGAATGCTCCAAGTCCTAAAAAATTAACCACAATTTATTTTTACACCTCAGAATACTCAAAAATCTTTCTTATATAAATTAATAGTAATTGTTTCTCCATATGAAGCCATTTTGGAAAGTAAGGGAAACCAGGAGCAATGTAGATCTCTTGTAAGTGAAGATACATGTATTGAACACAAAGTTTAAGTAAATATGACTAGATATACCCAGTTTTGCTCAGATTATCTATATATCTAAAATCAATGCAATCACAAAAGTTCATTATATTTTTTGTATTGATTACTTTAAAAGGTAAAAATTGTCTGAGGAATGCTGATTCTATTAGAATATTTGCTTCCAAGTGAAAGAAAATAATGGTTTTACTTTTAGAAAAATCTACAAAAATAACCAAATATAAAACCAAAAATTAAATTCTGTTTTAACAATTAAAAAGAAAAAGAAAATCTGTGACAAATTATTTTTAATTATTTCTGTACTAATTTAGATAATTATTGGATATGGATACTTTTTAATGAAAACCTTTTTCAATATTTGTTACATCATTTATTCCTGTTTTTATGCTATTCCCAACAGAAAAGCAAAATGAATACAAATATCTCAGCTCAACAACTACATTTTTCATGTTGCTAACTACTTTGCCATTGGCAACTCAGCTGATATTTTTTAAAGAAATCATAAATGCTTAGATAGATGCTTATAATCAGTGCACTTTGGATTTATGCAGTGTCATGTAAAAAAATGTGGCTTGTAATAAGATTTTTGACACTAAATTGACCTGTGGTAACCTTCACCAACCTTGGGGATCAGCACTATTTATCTTATGTAGATTCTTTAGTCAAGTTATGCTTATAGTCTAATGATATTACTACTACTAAGATACCTACAAAGCAAACAATTGCAAATTTTATAGCAATAAATGAATACTAGTTAATTATAAATTAAATGAATAATTTATTAGGATTATTATTAGTCAAGCTGGCATTCATAAAACAAACTCAGAGAACAGGAAATAAAAGCATACATTCTAATTAAAAAAAAAAATAAAGGGATTATTAATGATGCTGATATTTCTAAATGTTGTCCAAACTTAAGTTTCTCTATTTCTTTCAATTTTTACCATGCACAGAATTTCTTTTTTCCTCTTCATGTCAGCAATATGAACAGCTCAAGGACTTCAACAGAAAAATTATATGATCAGTCCAGTCTGAACTATTTTCATGTGAGCATTTTGATATTTTGAATGATGACCTCCTTTTGGTTTTGTAACACGAATCCAAATATAATATTAAAACCAAATAAACAGTCAAAAACCTTAAGTGCTTTCTTTCTGTGAAAATACTAAAATGCAAATGTACCTCACTTGTATTTTTGTTTCAAAAGTCAAATGCTTGGAATAAACATTTAAAAGTATCAAACATTAGGAAAAATAAAAATTAATTTCTATAAACATTTGCAAAAGCTCAGAATCAAAATTCTCATATCTAAGGAACAAATAAAATTGTGTCTGTTGCAAAAATAAATTGCAAAAGATGATTTTGTTTTGTCTTTAAAGTTTTTGTCAGAAAACATTTTTAATAAGCTTGAACCTTAAGAAAAAATTGCTTTGATATTTAGACATTATAAGATTTAGGAACTTAAATGAAATTTTGAAATAAAGCATTGTCACTATCTTAATAATTATTAAAACTAGCATGCTTATCTTTGTTGTTTTGATAAATGCATTTCAGTCAAAGGCAGCCAAGAATCCAATAGCTAAAACATGATAGAAACAAGAAAGATGAGGATAATAGTCCAAATAATTAATGGAACAATTTGTCATCGCATAACTTGAGTGAATAACAGAAAGGCTGAAGAAGACATTAACTGAAACAGGGATGAAAAAAAAAAACAAAGATAAGGATAACAGTCTACAAAATTCAGTCAATAGAAACAGGCCAGAGAAAACATAAGCAGAAATGAAATTATGAGGATATTATCTCAAATAATTCATAGAATATAAATTTTTTCATTTCATTTGTTTTAATGCTAAAGTTGATCAATGAAATTTGTCTTTACATTGAAAGAGTAAAATTTTATTTTTTATCTACTGCACATGAGGTTAGGAATAGCATCTGAAATGAAGAAAAGAAATATTGATGACTCAGGATTTGGATCTCCTTACCTGAAGTTTTCTAATACAAATTTAAAAATTAATGAATTTTTGCAAGAATACAATGTTTTATAGAAGGCAACAAAGTATTTTCTCTCCAAATCTGTCCATTAGATAATTTTAAAATATAAACAATGAAGTTAACTCTTAAAATCATTCTAGGTAATTAATATTCAATTAACAAGTTAAAGTTATAGGTGGTCAATATTTTCATGACAGGAATAATCATTGAGATATCATTCTTCAACAGGAATCAGTGAAATATAAAAATTGTATTAATGGAAAAATAATAATAATAATGGATCATCTTGATATCAGGATGAATATAAAACCCGGCATGACAGAGTGGGCCAATATCTGCACTGGAAAATTTGCAACTTCTACGGGAAGGAAACTGAAAGAAACTGGTATGAACACCATACAGACCCGGTTACGGAGATAGGACCTATTACAATTCTATGGTACTACACAATACACACTGACACAACAATCAAAGCTAACCGCCCAGACATTGTTATTAAAGACCACAAACAAAAAAAGTGCCTGAAAAGGACCCTGAAATTGAAATCTCAAAAATGTGGCACATGGAAACATCAACAATCCCTGTTGTAGTTGGAGCCCTAGGATTGGTTGGAAAAGATTCCAGTAGACTAATTGAAGGTATTCCTGGAAGCCCATGCCTCAATGAAATATAAAAAATTGTTCTCACAAGTACAGCCCACACTTTACAAATGGCTTTATCTATGTAAAATATGTGTGTGTGTGTGTGTATTTTTTTTTTTTTTTTGTCAGTGAAAAGTGTCATGATGCCATTTCTAACCTTAGGTCTCTGGGTGGGACCCGGAAAGGAATGTGTACACGCCAGAAATCAAAGGAAATAAAAACAACAATAATAATAATAATGAAGCAAAAAGAAGCTGAACAGATCAATTAGCATCTTGGAAAGATTTATTTCTAGTAATCAAGTTCAAGAGAAGAAAATTTTTAATCTTTATTTAAAGCCTTATTTCTGCTTCAAGAAATTTTTAGTAATATTCTATGTACAATTAATTTACCATTATAAGTTACTTTGCAGTAGCATTTTGTCAATTCTAGAGAATTCATTTAGAGAAACTAATGATTCGAAGATGCATAATATTTTAATTAAGGTTTGGTTAGTGACTGAAGGAGCTACATATTTTGTGCCAGTGTTTGAATTTGGATAAAAAATAGTAGTATTTCAAATATTAATTTTTAAGGCAAGTGTAAAAAACCATAATGTTTCCTTGCCAATTTGTAGCTATGTTAACTAAATAAATAACTAAAAAAGCAATTTAAATTTCATTTCTGTTGCTGAGGGCAGATGCATTAGCAGAATGAAGAATTCTCAAAATAAATATTCTTTTAAGCATTTCAAGTAGGAAAAGGCAAGAAAAAATAACAAAAAGCATAGTACAGGGAATTTGAATATGTAAATCTGTGTGTGTGTGTAATTTTTGGATGTAAAAATAATAGTGTCTTGAAGAACCAAATGAGCAAAGAAATAATTTTGACAATTTGAATGAATGAGACTTTAAATTATACAAAATGTTCATTTAAAACTCAAAAGCATGTATTCATAAAAATATGCCTTCTTTTCAGAGAAATTAAGGGTGATAAAAGCAATAATTTGGTATTGTTATCAATAGTTTACAAAATTTAAATACAAGTGATATGTCCCAGAAAGGGATATATTTGTCCGAAGTAGCAAAATGGTTGTTGACTACTGTAACTAGGTAGGACAATCTAGCAGGTAATGGACTCGGACTCGTCGTAGTCAATAGGCGTCCCCCTGTACCTCCACATCAGTCTGTATTGATGGCTGACACCAGCCAATCATATTACTGTGAGTGGGAACCCAGATGTATGCATATTCATTACATC